GAAACTAAATCTAACAAAGTGTGCCTTCAGTGTCAGCCTACTTCACCGCTTGGGCAAGCTACTCGGCCACGCCCTCCCTATCTAGGGTATCACTACAATGGATGTCCCAATCCAGATGATAGATATCATCTTTGGCCTTCTTTGAGGTTTGCTACTCTACGCCTTTCCTCGGGGTCACCTATTGGCATCTTTGGCCTATCAACCTTTACCCCTCTACATTGATGACCAACACCTTGTTCATGATCGTCCTCTAGTTCTTTAAGATCCTTAGGGTGCGGTCTTCAATCAATTATTGGGTAGAAGGCAGTGCTATACTTGCTACCACTACCTTCTTCCTAGTTGTTGTGTTTTGGAAATGTGCCATTTTCTACTCCTCGTTTAGGTCCATATCTACTCTTTCACGACACCAACTAAAGTCAGTACTTGAAGAAACAAGGAAATGCAAGAACTAAGGTCTAAACAACTTGGTAACCGACCAAATGAGGTAGACATGATCCCACCTTTGATCAACATGTTAAAAGAGGTGTACAACTTATATCCACCTTGAGCTTGACCATCCAAGCTAGCGCCTCATTGTCCTCTAGAGATAGATCCCTCAATTTAGGTGCCTTTACTCTAGTCTTTGGGGTGGTCATCTCAAGACCTAGAGGCCCCCGTTCTTGCATTTTATGAAGAAGAACCCTCATTCTAATGATGAACCGAGGAGGAGGCCCCGAAGAATACCTTTGTGTTTGGTTGAGCCGAAAAGTAATGGTAGTTCTACTATTGCTTCTGAAGGTTGAGAAGGGTGTGGAAAATAGGAAAAGTCATGGGGAGTTCATGGATGGTACAAAATCAAAGAAACCTGACCAGGTATCGGAATGAGTCCGACACTAATTGAATGGGCAAGACCTTGTGCCATCTCACTATGGAGACTAACCTCAAGTCTAGTGGAAACCTAAGGTCAGCCACTAAGTTGTCTTATACAAGTAGAGCTTGCCCAGTCGAGGCGAGTCCTCTCTCTCTCCTCTCCTTGGGCACCTAAGCTCGTACTTGGGTGGGATGTAATATGCCTCCTTGATCTTTTGCATGTTGGCATCCTACAATGCACAAGGGACACTACCAAAGCACTTCAAGGCCCTAGTTGTGACTTTAGGCTCTTCAACCAACACATAGACTTTGGTATCGTCAGTCTGCCTATTGACCTCAGCTAGAGCAAAGTCCTTGCCTAACTCACCTTGGACCTTGGATTCCACATCTAATACATCTGCCTCAACCTCAAACTCATTGGTGCGGTCTCGGGGACCACTACCGTGGTCATCTCTTGATGAGATGACTATCGAATCAACTCGCTATCCGAGTTGGATCCACTAGACCCCCAAAGGTGAAGATGATGAAGCTAAGATCTTATCGATGATCTCTATCGCAGAAGCACTAGACGAGGACGAAGACTTAGCCAAACTCTAGAAGGCAATTGCTCAAATGACAAAGGAAAATGGCTCTACCCCTCACCTTATATAAAGGTAGCCAACGGTCAGATTAAGACTAATCAACGATCCATATCAATTCCCACACTTCGTGCACACACGTGGGCTCGAGAAGGCAGAATGCCACAACCATGGTTCATTCATTCAAATTTTCTTGCGTATGGACCATCATCTTTAGTACAGACCAAACCGGGCCATAAGCCAAGTGGCTCAACCAAAACATAAGGCAACTATTGAGCTCCACAACCGAGTACTTCAAGAGCTTGTCCTCTAAAAGGCTACCGAGCACCCAACTCTTTGGCTACAAAACTTGGGGGATAGTGATGGAGGGTTGAACAACCATGTGGAAGGTTGATGTGGCTGAAAATCTGGCTGCGGGATTGGTCTAGCTAGCTCCAACCGTTGCACGTAATGAAAACTTTGAATTGAGGAAAAGAATGTGGTGAACGGCGGTCTCCTAGTGGCCTTTCATAGCAAGGAACGTAGAATCACCCTAAGACTCTGAATGAGGACTACCCCATTGCACGCCACATGTCTCAAAAACTAAGGAGCACCGTAGTGTCTCCCCCAAGTATAAAGGGCACACCATCCAACGTAAACTTCTTCTCCACTCTTCACTTGTGGCATTCTTGCTCTCTAGACCTCTAGCCCTTGCTCTTTTGCTCTGCTTTACTAACCAACTTTTCCCAAGGAACCACCTCGGAGCTTTTGACTTTGGCTTTTACAGATCAATGAATTCATCACCTCATCCAACACACCTCATTTGATATACTTCATGTAGCCCAGTTCTCCAACTCAGCTCATCCACCTTGGCCCGGGATCAACAATACTTCATCTGCTGCTCGTCCACCTTGACTTATACATTATCAATACCCCATACATCCTAAAATTGAAATGTTACTTTTAGTTGAAAACTATAAACTTTCTAAACATACATATCCATTCCCATCCTCTTAGGTCTCAAAATGTGTTTTACTCTGTGAGTACAAAAAAAAATGTGTTTACTTTGCAAATGGTTTGTTAATACCATATGCATGAACCCTTTTTAGAAAAAAAAAGAATTCATTTAGGTCCCAGATGATTTGATTTTCATAAATAATCATTTTTAAGAATGAAGTGTGCCTCCAATTTTTATCAAACGGAATGACCCCACTCCACTAACAAACCCTTTCCATAGCCTAGCCTAGCCTAGCCAAAAGAGGTAAAAACTAAAAGGAAAAAAAAAAGAAACCTATCCCTATCTAATATTGGGGCTTTATTTAATGACAAGACATGGTGCATGGTATACTAATACTTCCATGATAATACTCCAACCTAGAAGGACAACAAAGTCTATCATTCACTTCGGTTTTTCATTTTTGGGTGAATTACAAAGACCCCCTCTATTATGGGATCAATGACAAATACCCCCTTATCTTTTATTTGGAACAAAGATCCCCCTTAACTTATATGTTGTGACAAAGACCCCTTACCTGGTAAGTTAATTAACGAAAGACACTAAATTATGAAAATTCCCTCTTCATAATTCAAAGGGAGTGAAATGAAACATTCAAAATGATGAAAATGGGCAAAGCCATTCCTCTTTTTGTTTATTCGACAAAGTGATTCATCAAAATAAGAATTATTGAGGGATACACCCGCCTTTGCCAACGTCTAGGTGTGTATTGGTGTAGTTCATCTGTGTAGGAAGAAATTTCTTCAAATATTGCTTATGCATCTTTTGTAACTCGATTGTATTAAAGAAGAAACAGAGGGTTGTTTTAGGATTTTTTAGGTTATTAAAGTGTAAGTGAAAGGGTAAAATTGTTTGAAAAAATAATAAAAAAAATGTAATTTTGGGATTTAATTAACGGAATAATAGTAGAGGGGGGTCTTTGTTGCAATGTAAAAGTTTAGGGGGTCTTTGACACAGATGAAAGTACAAGGGGTATTTGTAATTGACATAATATAATGGGGTCTATGTAATTTACCCTTTAATAATTTGATTAATTACAAGTAGGTATCATATACTTTGGGATGGTCTCACTTTAGGGCTTGATCTTTTAAATGTGTCACTTTAGTGCTTTAACTTTTAAAAATATACATTTAAATCCAACTCCGTTAAACTAGCACTATGGTGATGGGTAAGATTATGAAAATGTCCACTTTTGACTATCTTTTTTCACTATTCATCTTCTTCTACCTTTGGACTTTAGATGAAAATTAAAGGTGAGGTGGTAAAGTAAGGTCATCCTAATTTGTTCATTGGGTGTGTAGTCTTACCTTCGGGCACTTACTTTACCACCATTAGTTTGAGTTCGAAGTCTAAAGGTAGAAAGATTTACATTGAAAAAAAGAGAATGAAAATATGGGCATTTTTATAATTTTACCTTTGTTTTTTTGGTAATAACTATATTTATGGAATGAAAGTTTAGACATAAAGTTCAAGCTCTAAAGTGAGAATACCCCAAAGTACAGTATACCTATATGCAAGTATCCTCAATAATAATAATCTCTAGAATGGCTAAGGTGAATAAGATAAGATCTACAACATTCAAATCGAATAGTTTTCCAGCATGATCCTACGGTCCAAAGCTTACACCCTAAGACATCCTATCAACCCATAAATAAACTGGAAAAGGCGATAAGAAAAGCTCTCTCTTCTCTGGCTCAGGTCCAACAGTTTTTGACTTTTAGCGTTGGAATGACAGTCGGAGTGAGTCCCACGCTCCTCTCGATCTCGTTACCACAAATCACTTAAAATAAGCAACCAGTGAGCCCTACCCCCCTACTTTGTTTTTGTATATTTGTCCAAGCGTGGGACTGAATGCAACAATAAGATGTCTTTTTCTGGGTCGTTGTCAATTCTTGTCACAGCTTAATAACATGGACTCCCCAAAATTTTTTATTTTTATGGAAACCTGAGCCAACTTAACTCCCCATCACCATCTCCCATCAACACCCTCTCAAAACCCGTTTTAATATTGGGATTTTATTTTAAATTCAATTTGTTTTATGAAAAACAGAAGAAACGGCCTGTAGGGGGAAAGGATTTGCAGTAAAAACTTTCATATAACTGGTGTGAAAGTGTACGAGCTTCACACACCCAGACACAAGTGAAGTGATGAAAAGGGAAAAAATGGAAGAAAATCAGAAAAATCTTCTTTTTGGGTTATCATTAATTAATTCATTAAAGGGCGGGGAGGATGTTGCCATTGATAACATTACAGAATATAAAAAGGGAATCAATCTCAGCGGGTTTGGAGGGAGTTTTGATTTTATTTTTTGGCAAGGTGGGGCGCCAACTACAACCCTAGAAATTACATACTAATTTGTCAGATCTGAGGATCTTCTTAGTCTTCATTGCTCTGTAATACTTGCCTAAAAGCCAATTTTTTTTCTGCCAATCATGTGAATCTCACTTCCTCCTCCTCCTCCTCCTCTTCTTCTAGTTCTTCCTCTTCTTCTTCTTGCAGCTGAAAGCAGTAAGATTTACAGGTAACTTTTATTTATTTTTTTTCCTTTTTGTTCTGAAAATTCTTCTTTTCTCCGTACCAAAGCTGAGATCTATTCACTGTGATGTCTTGGGGACTTTCGTGTTAAAATGCGAATTCGTTTTTTTTTCTCCTTTTGATGCTTAATTGCACGATCCGAGTCATGTTTTGGCGGCTTATGATCAAAGACTGTCTTTTTTCATCTCAGAAGCATCTGAACCAGTTGACATTGCTACTACATTTGTTCTCATTTTTCTTTCCATTTTTGATTCTTTGGGATGAATGGGTTCAAGTAATGAGACCCAGATCACTTTTTTCCCACTGTTCTTTTTACCGTGCTGCATTGCAAGTTCATGTGTAGTACAAACTCTTCTGGGTGAACTTCATGAACTTGCGTTTTCTTCTTCATGATGCAATCACAGAACCCAGATGAGAAGATCTTCATGATGGCCTATGAATGTTGTTTTATCAATTTATGATCTTTCCGATGCTGTTATGGTTTTCTCCATTATTTTACCCTGAGAAGGAGCTTAAGCCAAAGTCATTTTCACCAATAAGCTCAAGTTGGGGTTCAGGAAAACTGATACTCTAGATAAAAATGTTGGGAAGAGCTTGAGATCTAGCCTAACGCCATCGATTCCCCCCTGCTCAAGTGCCGATCATTTGTATCGTCGTCTGTGTCTTCCATAGAAATGTGTGGGTTTTCCTAGTTTTTGGTTTCTGACATCATTTGGATGATGTTACATTGTTGAGATTTCTGATTCTACTCTAACCTTGATTTTTTCCTGATGATATTACACTTTTTATTTCCTGTAAGATGACAGTTCTTTTGGAAAAGATCCTTTGGTATTTGATTACCGAATCTACTCTTGTTTTTCCTGTGAGATTGCAGTTACTTTGATCTTAGTTTTCTTGTCCGCATTGCAATACTCGATTGGTTGTTTTTTTTAGCATGTTAGCTTGAAAATCTATCTTTTTTCGTCTTTCTGTTTCTGACAGGTAACCATGTAGATTTGGCATATATTTTTATTGCATGACCTTGATCTTTGGAAAAGTGGAATTGCGAAGGTGCAACACTGTAGGATTTGAAATGCTTGAGAGCATATTGTATTAGGCCATAGTGCAGGCTAAAGCACTAAACCAAGCATTCAAAGCATACACTGAAGATGTGGCAATGTTTTTTTTTCATCATTAGGTCATGTGTATTTCAATCTAGTGCTTTTATTTGTGTCTTGAGTAAGTATGCACCCATGCATGTGTATTTGTGTTAAAGAAGGTTTCTTTACTAAAAATAGAGTGCCTTCCAACCTACATAATTTTGTAATTTGTATCATGGAAGTGGGCCCACTTTCATCATCCTACTGGCTGTAGCCTGAAATTGAAACAGTTTCATGGGTCCTGATCGCTTACCTGAAATTCTCATTAAATTTGAAGATCTGAATGTTATGTTATCATTGGTGCAGACATAACAATTGAACTCCTGATTTGGACTTCCTTCCATTTTTTGGGGCCTTATATGTTACCTTATATGATGGTTCTCTATAGGAGTCACATTGCATGACTCCCATCTTATCCAGATCATCTTAGCATCTTTCCCTGTATTATTTAAGGGAATAAACATTTAAAATAGTCAACTATATGCTCACAATTTTTATTTTGAGTGGTATGGAAAAATTATGAGGGTGTATTAGACATCCTATCACCAACATTAACTACTATTGGGTTGAGATGTTGGGCAATATCTCAAGATAATCTGAATATGGATTATCAAAGAAAATAGAGAACCTGGATAATGCATGTGTGTCAGTGTATGGAGGGGTTTTGTGGCAATATATGCATCATCTTATTGTTTCCAGTAGTAAACTTGAAATGCACCAAAAATCAATCTCTAATAAACTAGAGAAGCCTCTTGACATGCTATTAGGATCACCCAAATTAGCGCTTGGACCAATACAAGAGGTTACTGTGGCACATAAAAAATACACTAGATTATAGTCATACACTATTCTGATAGTTTATAACATCTTCATGCCTCTATGGTTGGACATTCATTCTCCCACTGGACTTGCGAAATTTTCTGGTTTTAATCTCAACTGATGTTGCTGATTGTTCATTTGTCTTCTTTCAGAGTATGTTGTTTAATTGGTTTCTATGTGGTTCATTAATTTGCTTGTATGTATTAACAGATTTTTTTTTTGTCTTTGTGTATGGAATTGTAGAATGAAGATCTGGTTTTCTACCAGTTATTATTCTCCTTCAATGTTTTTATTGGATTCTGAATATTGGTGTTGGAGTTCAAGGTTAGACAAAAAGACACTATTAAAATGAGTCCAAGGGTTCTGTTTGTGACATTAGAGGGTATATGCATTTGAATGGGCTTCGAATTTAATATTAGGTCTCTGTTGGGTTTCTTTAAGCACATAATTGCAAATGTCAAGTGCACGGATTGATCCAAGTGAGCTTCACCTGAAGAAGGAACTCACAGCCCTTCGAAAGGCTGCACGGTTTCTACGTGACCCTGAAACTTGTTCTTCTTGGAGGTCTCCCTTGAGTTCTAGATCAGTGGCTGCAGCTTCTAGTTGGACCCATGGAAATGGAATCAGAGGAAACTCCAGTGGAGCAAACCATGCTGGAGGATGTTCTGAACTTGACTCCCAGTTGCCACTGAGAAGTGAAAACAATCGGAAAAAGGTGTTCCTCTACAATTGGAGGAGTCACTCTGTGAAATCAAATGACAGTGGAGCAAAATTAGATGGGGACAAATATGGAATGGAAGGATCAGTTCCTAGGAGTCCTGAGGATAGCTCCAGTGATGCCAATAAAGAAGACTCTAAGAGTGACACATATATTGAGGACCCTGTCATGGTATTCAGAGCAAGAGGGGCAAGTTTGGAGACACCATTGCGGAGGACAACCAGGAAGTCAAAGAAGATATCTGCTGCTCCAAGACAACACATCATAAAAAACCCAACAAATTCGAAATCACTGGAATATCCTCTTGTCTCTTTAAGGGGAACAAATAACTCAGTTGAGCAATCTGATGACACAGAAACCTGCAATTCTGAGGACTTACGAATTTTGACTCATAATTTAACCCAAAAGGTCGGGTACACTTCACGATCAGTAACCCCCTTGCTGCCTCGGAATGGAAATTGGTCCCACTCTTCCAAACTGTTTAGAAGTATTCAAAGAGAGGATTCCTCTTATTCTTATACTCCTGCATCGACAAGTTCATATAATAAATATGGGAACCAAAACCCCAGTACTGTTGAGTCTTGGGATGGCACAACAGCTTCCTTCAATGGGGATGAATTGGATCATTTGGAACTATCAAGGCGACAAGGGTGTGGGATTCCTTGTTATTGGTCAAAAAGGACACCAAAACATAGGGGTTGTGGAAGTTGTTACTCTCCTTCGCTTTCTGATACTTTGAGGAGAAAAGGAAGTAGCATTCTATGTGGAAGCCAGACATTGTATCATAAACGTCGATCGGCAAGGTCCAATAAGCGGAAACTTGTATCAAGATCTGCACAAGGGGTACCACTATTGACGAATGGTTGTGATGGAAGAAGAGGTTCAGAAGGGTCATCTGTAGACACTGGACAAAGTGATGATGAGCTTTCTACTAATTTTGGGGAGCTTGACTTGGAGGCTTTAAGCCGGTTGGATGGAAGGAGATGGTCATCAAGCTGCAGGAGCCAAGAAGGGTTAGAGCTAGTAGCTCTAACAGGAGGTGCTGAGGAAGGGACACCAGATCATGTTAGGAGCTTGAGCCAGAAATATAGGCCAAGGTTTTTTGATGAATTAATTGGACAGAATATTGTTGTGCAATCCCTTGTTAATGCAGTTTCAAGGGGGAGGATTGCTCCTTTTTATCTCTTCCAAGGTCCCCGTGGGACTGGAAAAACAACAACAGCTAGGATATTTACTGCTGCATTGAATTGCCTGGCTACACAAGAAACAAAACCATGTGGGTTCTGCGGGGAATGCACTGATTTCTTCTCTGGAAAGAATATGGATCTGAAAGAAGTAGATGCAACTAATAGAAAGGGAATAGAGAGAATCAGGCACCTATTGAAAAACCTGTCAGGCAGGCCACTATCTTCCTCTTCGCGTTACAGGGTCTTTATTATTGATGAGTGCCATCTATTACCCTCCAAAACCTGGTCAGCATTTCTAAAGTTTCTTGAAGAAACACCACCATGTGTGGTGTTTGTATTCATAACTACAGATATTGATGGTGTTCCTCGTACTGTATTATCACGATGCCAGAAATACCTTTTCAACAAAATCAAAGACACTGATATTGTAACCAGGTTGAAGAAGATATCTGTAGATGAAAATCTTGATGTTGAATCAGAGGCACTGCATCTAATTGCTTTGAATGCAGATGGTTCACTTCGAGATGCAGAAACTATGTTAGACCAGTTGAGTTTGCTGGGGAAAAGGATTACGACCTCTTTGGTAAATGAACTTGTAAGCATTCTCTACTCATTCTCTCTCTCTCTCTCTTATTTTGATCCATAATGGTTAGGTTTATTAATTTTGACCATTCTCTGTCAACATTTTCTGCTTCATTATTTTTTTATTTATTTTTATTCTTTTTTACTTTGCATATATCTATCTCATTGTTACCCATCATTGGGGGGGGGGGGGCGTTGGCAAAGTGGTATTCAAAACTGGTGCATTACTCAGAAACATGGCTGCTGAATGTTTCAACTTTATTTAGCATACTCAATTGCAAACTTGTAGGGGAAAAGAATTAACTTTAGAACATTGAATGGTGTTGCCAAGCTCTCTTTGCTATAGTTTTGTATATTTTATAAGTATTTAAGGGGGAAAATGTTTAATTTTTCTATCCATTCTAAATGACTTAGTCCTATATTCCCAATTAGGTTACTTGGCTCCTTGTATAATTTAGTGGATTGAACCTGTTCAGCTATCAGGGAGGCAATGTCCTGGGCACCCACTTTGAACATTTCTTTCAAATGGATCCCAAGGGCTGCCAATTCATTGGTGGATAGGACTTCTCTATTTGGAATAATTGGAATTTTTGGTGTATTTTTTGAGTAGTATTAGTGTTGCATATTTTTTGTCTGTTCATGTCCTATGATCTTGGGGTATGCTTTCTTTTGTTTTTTCCTGTTTTCCTAATATTGTTTTCTACTTCTTGGTGTTCAAATCATGTTATCCTACTTTTTGATCATTAACGATTATCTTTAGTCATGGTTTATTCCTTTTTATACGAGTATAGTTTATTCCTTTCTCCACAGGTAGGGGTTGTTTCGGATGAAAAACTGCTTGATCTCTTGGAGTTGGCCATGTCATCAGACACAGCAGAAACAGTAAAGAGAGCCCGGGAGTTGATGGATTCTGGAGTTGATCCAATGGCATTAATGTCTCAATTGGCAGGTCTTATTATGGATATCATTGCTGGGACTTACCATGTTGTCAATTCAAAAAGCAGTGGTTCATTCTTTGGGGGTCGAAATTGTAAGTGTGCTCTATTATATTTTTGTCTTTTGTTTGTTTAATGATACTGGAATTATTAGCTGAAGCATAGACAGGTGCATCTATGTTAGTTCATTAAATTCCATCTTCAAATCCTTAGTTTCAAAATCCTGAAATAAAGAGAAGTAAAAGCATAGACAGGTTGGATCTGCCTTTTTTTTCCGTTGTGTTTTACAAATAAACAAAGGGGAGGATGGCCACTTTATGTTTTTTTGTAAGTAAAAGAAAATTTCATTGAAAAATAAAAAGAAAGGAACATAAACCACCAATAAGGTGCTAAGAAAGCAATGCCAAATAAACAAACAACAGCCCCAAAGGATGGCCACCCTCTCCCCATTTCAAAAACAAAAACTCACAAAACATTCTATACTTTGGACAAACAGGATACAAACAAAAAATCTTCCCCCAAATCAAGTCTCGTGACATGGCATTTGGCTGCAGTATACGGGGTTGAATAGGCAAAAGAATTGTGTATTAATAGACTGATCATTGAAGGAGACTTGAAAACTGTGGTAAAATGGTTGCATAAAGGGGAGGGTGGACATGGCATTTGAGGAATAAATTCATGAGATTTAAATGGCTGTCAAAGGACATGCCAATCTGAGTGAGATGGGTGAGAACTGCCAACAGTTTAGCAGATAGCTTAGCCAAGCAAGGGGTACAAAGAACACATGTTTTGGGTTCAAATGTAAATTTAGATGGGGTCAGCTTTCTAATGCTGGTTTTTTCTTTTCACAACTTGTTGTAACCTGATTTTTCTAATTAATGAAATCTTTTCTGTGTTGCTGATCAAGAAAAAAGTCTCGGGACCCCACCCCCTACTCAACTCTGAAGGATGGCCACTTTATTATAGATGTTTGCATACAGAAATTTGAATGCTATAAATGAATGGTTTGTTCACAATATCACAAATCATCTTTAGATAGTCTTATTTTATTATTAGTCTTCTTATTCTTTAGAGAAGCATATAAGTAAATTCTTAGGTTTTGTGATGTAAATTTCTAAGATTTGTTTTCATCCAGACAATTGGTGTTAGATTATAATAGAAATGCTATCTATCAAATTTCATTATTCACTTTAATATATATTAATTTCCACAGATTTCTAAAGTAATAGAAATAATAATCTTATTCCCATAAGATTATTATTTTCAGAACAGGAATTGATATATGTAGGTATTCATTTTTGTTTATGTATAGTCATGTTTATATACTTCTTCTGGATGACCATACAATCTGGAGAATCCAGACAAATGGGGACCCTCTGGATTATCCATATGTTGACTTGACAGTACATTCTAGTCCTAACCCCAACCCCTGCCTTGTTTTATACTTCTCTTTAAGTGATATTGGCCATCATTGTTCTCATGATTCTGAAATGTCCATGAAAAGTACTTAAAACTAGCCACTATTCTGAACAAGAAGTAAGATATAACATTTTCCTTAAAATTGCCCCATAAATAGAGGGTGGCAAGGGCAACATGTAGGGTTGACAAAACTAGCCACTGTTCTGAAGATTTCTGGTTCGATTAGGCTGTTCTTTATTGAGCAATGACTTAACTAGCGCATCTACCTATGTGCTTACTAACATATACACATTATTCAGCACGTTCTTTCTTTCCAGCTATTGTTTTTGCTAATTGCTAACCGAATTTGGCTAAAGTTCTGTGTGTTTTCCTCAGACTACAGACAATTTGGGTTGTATATCTAGACAATTTTGTGTTTGTTATATTTTTCTTTCTAGCTTTCTTATTTGCTAATAGATTTATCTAATTTGGGGTGTGCATTGGTTCTCCAGTGACTGAAGCTGAGTTGGAGAGACTAAAGCAAGCTCTGAAGCTTCTTTCAGAAGCTGAAAAACAACTAAGGGTTTCAAGTGAGCGCTCAACATGGTTTACGGCCGCTCTGTTACAACTTGGTGCTGTCTCTACTGATCCTACTTATACAAGCAGCAGGAGGCAAAGTTCTAAAACAACTGAGGAAGATCCATCCGACACATCTAAGGAAGCTTCTGCTGACAAGAAGAAGACTGATGCTCTGCATGTGTCAAGGAAGTCAACTTCTGCTTCAACAATGCCTAAAGCAGTGAATGAAACTTACAGCCCTTGCGGAGATCCATCCTTAATTGTTGATGGTTCAAGTTTTGATTCCAGGTCCACACACAAGCCATTTTTGGAGCATGGTGGATCGGATGCCTTACAGGAGGATGTTAAGACTGGAAATAGGGTCTTCAGGTGCACAAGTCCTGACAAGTTGGATGATATTTGGGAGAGGTGCATTGATAGATGCCATTCTAAGACGTTGAGGCAGTTATTACGTGAGCATGGAAAGCTTATTTCAATCTCTGATGTTGAAGGTAGACCCCTCATCCAAGCCAGAGCAATTTGTGCATGTTCTGTTATTTGTATGCTTGATGTAAACTGATACACGTACAAACGTACAATTAAAGCATGTGTTACAGAAATAGATACATGTATTCATGGATTTGTGCAGTTCATGGACACATATAAATGTATGCTTTTGTAAAGATTTTCTAATTTGGTTAATAAGGTAAGCTAACTAGAATCTAGACCAAAGTTCACAATATTGATTTCAAGGACGATTTTGATTCTTCTAGAGCAAGATATTTTGCTGGTAATTTTAACAAAATTTTGGAATGATGTAAACATTTTCAACACAAGGGAAGTATAATGAAGAATGAAGTCTTGCAATAGGAATGCAGAAAATGTTAATTTTGATATGTTTAATACCAAGAAACGAAGATATTGTAACAATGAGCATATAGTATGAATACAACAAAATTAAAAAACTTTGGAACTTCATATTGACCATGGTTACTCCCCCAAGCCTGCATTTGGAATCATCCCTATAACCCACCTTGCATCAGGATTTTTTTTTTGGCTCACAGAGCTAAAGAATCTTAACTCCCCAGGGAAAGGATAAATCCCAAGCTGAAATAGAACAAAACAATTACAACTGAGCCCAAAATTACACTGAACTTCACTCCTTGCCTAGCCAGACCATCAGCAAACGAGTTTGCACTTCTCTTAACCCAATTACACCGAACTTCCATATTCTTGGATCAGGATTTCCCGAAGGGAGATATGAACCATGCAATGTTTTGTTGCTTTAACTAAACAATAAGCCAAAAGAGACTTGGTTTTTTGGCATTATTTTGGAGAGGCTGGATCTTTGATTGCAAAGATCCACAAATTATTTGGTTAGAGTGGCATGGGGAGGAATGAGTTGTTTTGGGTCTTGTCCTCTTCCTGATAAAAGTACTGTTTATCAAGTGAATTGGGGGTTTAATTGGCTATCTGGCTAGCAGAATCACAGATGATCCATTATCCATTGTAATGATTTTATTGTTGGACATGAGCCTTACTGATGGTACCGGACGGTAAACAACCACTTTAGTGCCCATACATAGTTAACATTGGACATGCTTGTTTCATAGCAATTTGGTCTGTATTCAGTTTGACTTTTGTTGTGGTCATTTATAAATAAACACCAAAAAAGAAGAAACTATTCAATCATTATCTGTAGATTCACTTGCATGGGGGAATATCTTTCCTAATCTTTACATATTTCACACACTGTTTTTTTTTATAAATGTTTAGGGACATTTTTTAGTTAATCCTCTATTATTGGCCTTTGTAGTTTAATACCTAAACATCACTTTTATCATGAGATTTTCTGAGTTTGATCCACTAGGTCTACTCTTACCATCCTGATAACCTGTTTGCAGGTGTTTTGATTGTCTTAGTAGCATTTTGTGATGGCAATATTAAATCCAGAGCTGAGAGGTTTTTGAGCAGTATCACCAATTCAATTGAAGTTGTTCTGAGGCATAATGTAGAGGTTAGAATAGAACTCATGCCAGATGTTGGGACTTCAACAGACAGACTACAGGAATTGGGATTAACAGACTCCTTGGGCCAGAAGCAGATGCAGGTATCTGAAGCCATGGAGAAGGAAAGAAAAGCTGATCCTAACAGCTTCACTAATGGTCACACCAACCTGGACATGCACCAAGAACTGGTCAAACTCCCCAGAGATGGTTTTAACAACTCAAAAAATAAGCTACAGAGTGGGTCACTTGAACAATCTGGATCTCCATTGGTAGATGGAAAATTTCATACTACTAGTGGATTACCTGTCTTTTGTACTGAAGGAAATGATGGAATCTGTTTGTCTAAAGAGAGAAGGCAAGACACTTCAATGCAAAGAATACAAGATTTTGATGAACAGAGGCTAGAGAGTGCTTGGGTACAGGATGCGGAGAAGGGTACCCCCAGATCAGTGAGTCGACTAAAACCTGAGAGGAATCAAGTACTTCCACAAGATGGTATCTATCGTCAAGGTCAGATGACAATGACACCCATATCCTCTGAGCACTGTGAAGATGAGCTGAATCAGGAAATCAAAAGTTTGAAGGCTAATGATCATAGGGGCAACAAGAAGGATCAGAGTGGTAGAAAGGTTGATCACTACCCCATATCACCAAGCTTATTGCATGATAGCACCTTTGGGGGGAACTTCAACAAAGATAACCTGTGAGTTACTTCACTTTTATTTATTTTACAATGATTTACAGTTTTATTGATGCTTCTTACTTAAATTATGACTGTCCACTAAGATTTCAATTTACTGCTTTGATTTTGGATTTAGTTCATCTCAGGCAAATTGATGGTCTGTCAAAATGATTTGTGCCTATGATATCAAGATACCTGTATATGCCTAGTTTAGCAGTGTTGGACACAATACCTACCTGATACAACAACACATACTGCATGTACACTTCTCTATGCATACTCAATTTCATTAACACTTTTAGAATATATAAATTGGTAGGCTCTTTTTGAGAGTGGAACAGGGGAAATACCCCATGGTGCCCTGCAATTATCAAGGTGATTGGAGATGTTTGTGGAGGATTTGTTGACATAAACGATTCCAAGTGTCAGCTTGCCACCTTTGTGTGAGCTCGAATGTGGGTTGTTCGAAGGGGGGATTGGTAGGGATTTCCATGGCTTTCTCCAATACATGTGGGTGGGAAGTGGTGAAATGAGATGGATGGAATATCAAGAACAAGGTAGGGAATATATGGTTTAGTATAATGGAGAGAAACAACAATGAAGAAATCCCCAAGGCAAGTATAATGGAGAGAGGAAAGGTAGGTATTGATCAACTAGTAGATAGACAGTTGACAGTTGGGAAATCTCTTAGTCTTTTCTTTTTGGGGGGAGAAGCGGTGGTGAGGCTGGCAATTGAACAAACAGAATAGCAGTCAGGAAAGCAATAAGAAGACTGCAGTTGAGGGAGAGGGTGGGAAATGGGAAGAAGGTGAAGGAAAGGAGTTTGACTTCGTTGATGAAGAGTGAAATGTGCTGTTGGGAATTGGGTGAAAAAGATTTCAAAGAAAAAGTGTCTGGGAGAATGTCGTTCCTTAGCTTTGTTTGGAGGTGTTTCCTCAACACCTCTCTAGATTGTATTTGCTTTTTATTTTTAATGAATTTTCTATTTTACTTATCAAAAAATATATGGTTTAGTCAAGAGAAGGGGTGGTGGGAGGCATTAGAATGTGGGAATGAAGTTGCAGGTCAATTGGCCCCAGAGAAGAAAATTGTTATCCAAGAGGTGGAAAATCCATCTGTCTTGAAGGCTTTTGTTATTGGAAATATGGACATTTTTAATGATGGAGATGGTAACAATGAGTGAGAGAGAGGGGGGAGAGATAGCTTCCATAGGGTTCATAAGGGACATCAATGGCTTGATGGTGAACTCACCGGATTTCTCAAAAGGGCACCACATTCTGTCTTCAGTGAAAGGCTACAGCTTAACCTGTTCTAGCTGCTGTAACAGAGATATCAAGGCCTCCAAGTTTCAATAATCAAAGTTGCTTCTTAGCCTTGGGATCCAGGTAACCTGACTATCTTTAGTCTCAAAACAGTCACAAACTCTAGCATCTTTATCTTGGGCCAAGGCAAATATGGATGGAAAAGCAATGCCAAAGGGGCTATCACTACACCACTTATCCTTCCAAAAAAGGATTCTATTACTTGACTCTGGTTTGAAAAAGACAATTTTGAATAAGAAATCCCTGTTTTGCATAATTTCTTTTGAAAACCTGTGCCATATGATTCATTGGCCTGACATGATTGGAGGACTGAACACCAAATAGATGAAGCCCCTAAGTTGAAGATATCTGAGGAAGCCAACTAAAGGATCCTCCCTTTTTCTAGTCAACTCTTTTGTTATTGTGGTTTGACTAAAAATTCTTTAATGTTAGAATAGAGCTCTCTGTGTAGGGTGTAGAAGGGTTGTTGTATGTGGATTTTTGCAAAAGTGGTGGCTGGAGATGGTCATTTTGAAAGAAACCAAGCGTCAATATATTGATAAAACTATTGTTTGAAGTATTTGGGGTTTTAGGGGCATATAGACTACAGTGGTGTTATATGTTTTCTGCAGGAAATAACTTGATGATGTGGGAATGTATTGCCAAAATTTTGGTTGTTTGGTATTATCAGCATATTGTCATGATCCGCCTGAGTAGAGCAGTAAGGAGCAGAAGTTTAGATGTTTAATGGCTTTTTCCAGAGACTTCTAGTCAAGGCAAGAGAGTTATGGAGTATGCTAGAGTTGTCTTGTAGTGTTTCGTGAGCGTCCTAGAGTGTTGAAGAATTGTGTAGAAAAAACCAAGTGTAGAAGAGTCTAGAGTTTCTTAGGGATTTGTAAATATCTAGAAGGAACATATCTAGAAGATGCTTGGAATGTTCCACTTGAGGAGGTGGAACATGTGGTTGATATGAAGAGGTGGAGAGGCCTATAAGTAGGGAACCCTTCCCATTTGCGAAGGTATCCAAGGGAGAGTGATCCTAAGGAGTGATCCAAGTGTCCTAGAGTGTCTTGTACCCTTTCTCTTTGAGTTAATAAGAGGGCTTTGAGTAAGCCCTTGGATGATTTTTTCCTTGTCTCAAGTTCTTTTGCCTTAGTGTGAGTGTTGGGAATAAATCCACGTGGTCCAAGAACCAAAGAGAATGCTCAAGGAGTAAGACTGGCTTGTGGTGCAAGGAGTGCTACTGTAAGGAAGCGTGGTCCTAATAAGGAGGCTAGGTCTGTGGTACTATGCTCACTAAATCTGCCTAGGCAGGCCATGTATATTTCTTGTTCACTCATTAACTCTGCCACAAGTTAGCAATTGATAGGGTGATTTTTTTATTTTATTTTAACAAAAAGATTAATAATAAAAAAATTATTTTCACAAACCCTAAACTAAGGTAAAGGTTTTCTTTCTTTGTTCGATATAGGAGAGGAAGGACCAGTTCTTTCTTGTTTGTTCTTGCTGATTCCATTGTTCTCTCTCGAGCACAGGTTTAGGTTCRGCCTCAATGGGAAAATGGAGCACCTAACAACGCATCTTCACAGGCGAAGAACTACGAGATCACCCCTTTCATTCTGGGGTGACGGAGGGATCGTACCATTCGAGCC